CGCTGCTTGTCCAAACCAAAAGAAAAGAAGTCCAGTTGCCATGATTCAACCTCCAGATACTCCATCAGATATTTTTTCAGAATTTTCTATTGTATCACCTCAATCATTTAGCTTGATTTTCAGAGATCAACAAAATAGTTTTGCTCACTTCTAAATCTATAAACTGAAGGTAGGTAACAAGTGCTGATCTGCATCCTACCAACTTCCTGTTGGATTCTTTAGTTATGTATAGATAAAACCATATCCTAAAGATAGAATGGACATCTGTTCAGAGACAATTTCTGATCACTGGCATTGGCATCCTTATCTTACTGCTGTTGTGATATTTTTGGCCTAAAATATAAATTCAGATGGCAACGGGCAACCTTTGTTTTCTGTTAACTGGAGTATGGTCAGTGTTCATATACATATGTAGTCCTAGCCCAAAGCAGTACTTTTCCATTCTTTCAAAATAGCTAATAAGTATACCCAGGACTGCTTTCTGAAACAGGATAAAATGCTGCTTCTGACATTGACCTGGGTCATATAATGTGCTTGGGCTGAACATTTTTGGTGAACCACTTAATTGTTATAGTTAAAATACTACATTTTAAGTTTCTGTTGAAAACTTTGTTCTTTTCCTGGTCCTTCCAGGTATGAATGTTGAAAGAGTAATCCACCCCCACTTTAATGAATGTGTTTTAAAATTGTTTTAAGTGTTATTTTACTACATTCTTATTGTAAACCTCAAGATTTTTGGCATATGAAGCAGTATATAAATGTATTTCTTTAATACCTAACAAATTAATAGTCCAGAAACTAGACACTATTATGTGTTTCAATCATAAATAGTTAGCTCAGTGTGTGAAACCTGACACTATTTCCCTCTAACTTGGTAAAGAGTTCATGAAAGCATCTGTACATTAGTAAATGATTGCCTACAGGGCAGAGCGAGAATTTGTTTTGTCAAAAGCCTTATTCCTTCAAGGAAAATCTAACACTGGTAGGTCACATGCTGACATAAATGGTGCCAAAGGGGACTAGATAAGCCTTATATTCTTTATCTTCTTACTGTTATCTGTTATATTGTACCTGGCAGGCTGCCACAGGAGGAACAACAGATTACCCTTGTCAGTAACCTGCAATTTTTTCCCTGGATATCATTCAATACATGAAGGGGAATTTACTTTAGAAATTATTTCAAAAGAGGAAAGAATTTTGGAGAAATACTTTCAGGTAGATGGTTGAGTTCTTGCCCTGAGTTAGCTGCAAGATGGTCAAGGGGTATGTATAAATATAGAGTGAAAGACAAGATAATCTGTCCATTGGTCTGCAATCTGAGCATTCACACTTTGATATCATTCTAAGAAAAGATATAATGATAGAACTTGCCCATGGGGGCTTTTCAGTAATGGGAAGTCACCAGTTAAGTGGGAGGTTCTGGTGATCAAAAGTTGTTGGAGAATTTCTTCTTCCCTTGGAGAAATTGTCCACCCAATTTTCTGCCCCAGTTGATGGTTGTTAGACACCTTTTGAAAGTAAGCTGAGAGCTGTTTCTGGCTGCAAAAATCTGCAACCCTCCTAGAGAACATACATAGGAATATGGAACAGATAATACAGTAATACTCCAGGGTGTTTGAAGTAAGAGTGTGTTGTTATATTACTACTTCATTAAAACATGTGAAAGCAAGCTAATGAGGACAGCTTCATGCTTACATGGTCAGTTTTACACTGTGACTGGTTTAACTGCATGTAAAATCTGTTCATATAATCTGGATCAGCAATTTAGTGTACCAGTCTAGGGCAGGTTTCTCTCATCTGACACTCCAGGAGTACGTATTAGAGTATAACTCCTCATCCTCATTAAGCATGCCTGGAAGATAAATAAACATTACTGTTGTTAATATCTAATTTTAATATGTTCTTGTCCCTTTAATGAAGTATTAATATAACATGATGGAAAGTAGGAATTTTAATAGTATTCAGCATGCATATTGTCTTATGGTATCTGGTGATAGGTATTCTTACATCAAATAACAAAAGGTAGCTTGTTTTTAGCTCCATTTCCTCAAGATTAATTTGTCAGAGCCAGAAATGAATGGAAGCTCTCACTCTTTAGTGCAGCTAATCCCAGACATTAAGACAAGGTCCAGTTCTTGTTCCAATGGCCACTCAGCTGATGGGGGGCTGCGCAAAAGGGTTTGAACAACACTGTAGACTGTGTTGTGTCAATGCACCTTTTTTTTCCAAATCCTTAAACATTTCACGGTTGTGGAAGTTGGTTAGTTGTACATGGTTAGAGAGGCTGTTTTTTTTAAATCTTTATTTAAAAGTATAAATCACAAAATGATATTTAGTTGGTATATGCAGTATGTTTAATGCAATGGGTGAACCAAGTTTATAAGAAAAAACTGTATAAGCTTAGAGACAGAGATATAATGGGAATGGTCACAGGGTTTTTTCCTCTCAAAGACAGCAAGAGTACAGAAATATTGTAAAGCAAAAAGTCATGGGCTTTCCATCTACCCCTCTAAATGTCCTTCCAGCTGCAGCCTCCTTTCTCTCTCTTTCCCAAAGAACAGCATCTCAGCAAGAGGGTCTCTTGACCTGGCTGCCTAAAGACCTGGTTCTTTCCTACTGTAATGGTCTTTTTCTATTGCAATGGTCTCCAGCTTAGTCCAGTGTTTCCCAACCTTGGCAAATTTAAGATGTGTGGAATTCTGGAGGCTGAAGTCCACATATCTTAAAGTCATCAAGGTAGAGAAACACTGCCTTAGTGTATTGTTTGCAAACCATAATTTATGCTTAGTGCTCTATGAATACTGTGGCTCTTTTCACCTCTAAGGTTAACTTGACTTGTTTTTCACGGTAGCCTTGGAAAGGCTTTCTTTATATCTTGGTTTGTCTGGGATTGTTCCAGTTTTGCACTTCAGTCTTTATGATTAAAGAAGTTCTGAAAAGTAGTGCTGCATAGCTCCACAAAAGAGGAGCATGAGCCTAGCTGTCTGTCATGACTCACTCTCCTTTGTCTGGCAAAAGGGGAGCAAGTTTAAATGGCACCTGTGCCCTCCCGTTATCTGGGAAGCCTTGGTTTAGCCATTGACGGTCACCAGGGAAAATACAGTCTCAATAGGAGAGCTTCCTTGCTTGTTTAGGTACCTGTGAGATAAAATCTTCTGTTTTAAGACTTAAGACTGTAAATAGGTATTCAAGTAATCCAAAAATTGGTGGTTGGTGCTGTAATTCCATAGAAATAGTTAGGCTTCTTTTGGATGTGAGCCAGTATTTTCTAGGGCTTGCTTCTGCCCCAGATGCATGGTACAAGTGTTACATGTGGAAAGGTAGGATCTACAGCTTGCAAGGCAAAAGACTTCCAAGGAGTACATAATATCAGACTTCCTTAGGCCTAAAGTGTTCCTGGGTTCCAGTATGTATTTAATCTGTCCTGGAACAAAGAATAAGTGGCATTCCTGTCCCTCGCATTTCATAAGAAATAACTCACTGAGGATTTGACACCAACACACATTGTTTGCTATGTGATGCATAAATCTTCTAGTAGAAACAAAACCAGATGTTTGCTGTTATCAAACAGCTGGAAGATGACTGATTTACTACCCCCTAAAGGTTGTTCCTTCAGTTTTCGGAGGATCTTGAAAAACATTTGTCTATGTCTGAATTTGTCTGTTGGGCTACATTGTGATTTATTTAACCAAGATTTGTTGAATAAGTCACCACTAGCTAGCTTCACACATTACACTAAGTCAAATGCAAATATCATGTCTGAGTTCATACAACAAGCTCAGCCAAAACAAAACAAACCACATCATAGCTTTGCATGATGTATATGTGTAGTTGCCAAACAGGCATCTAAACTGGTGGAAGGTCAGGATGAAAGTGGTTGTTAGATATGGAAGTAAAAATAATTAAAAAGGAGTTATCATTTTTAATAACTGTGGCTATAGCTTAGAATGCAAAGTAATGACCTAATTGGGAAGGAGCGTGCTTGGGATATAAGAGCAGCCAGGTTAGAGTAGAGATGTACTATGCCTCTCAACTCTCAATAACTTTAGCACAAGTTTAATTTGTTGTTGTTGTTGTTGTTGTTATACCCTGACAAAAGAGAGAGAAGGAGTATAGAGTATAGAAGATGGAGGAGGAGGGAATTTTGAGTGCTTTTTGGAACAGTCTTCCCCAGACTGTTGTCTATCAGGGGTATTGGGTCTGGAATTCCCAGACTTCTTAGCCAACATTACAATGGGGAATATTGTTGTAAGCATCACATTATACAGCTCTTGAATGTTCTCACAGCCTGACTCATTCCTTACTGTTTTAAAGCGATTCTTCCTCTGTACTTTTAATACAATAATGAACCAATTATTTTTAAGTGGCTTTAAATGTATACTGAATTATCTTAGGAGTTACACTAGTGTTGTTGCAGCTTGTGTTTAAAATTACTATGCACTTAAAAAAAAATTCCTTAGGTGTCTTATTCCTCTGCCTGCGGCTTGCACTGCAAGTCAGATTTAAAAGCTGAGCACTGCTGCTTATTTGATTTTCCACTGACACCGATTCTCTCATTCCAGGAGACAGCCCCTCCACCATGTCATCTGACCAGACATCTCAATCTACAGTGCCTCCTCTCCACTCTCCAAAGTCACCTGTATGGCCTATTTTCCCATTCAATAGGGAGGGAAGCCGGATTTGTGAGAGGGGTGCTCACCTTCTTCGGGACTTACCCAGCCCCCTTCCCACAAAAAGAACAAGGACTTACTCTGCGTAAGTATCCAAAGTTGACCAGAAATAGAATTAATGATTTTTTTTAGAAAGAATGACAGTTGGATTTTTGCTGTAGAATTTGATGACATGGAGCCTATTAGCTGAGGCTGGAAGAAGTGAGGAATTGCAGTCATAATTGCATCTCTGTCCTTGTTCCCAGGTGCATGTAGTTCTGGCCTATTTCTCCCTGATTCTCTACACATTCTGATCCTAGTGGAACAGCAGAACATTGTAATGCTGCTGTTTTGATAACTTTGGTTATTCAGTTCCCCATGGAATGATAAATCAAATTGTGCCCATATTTCAGTAAAGTCAACATAAGAAGAGTCCTCTTGGATCAGGCCATAGCCCTATTTAATCCATGATTTTGTCTCATACAATTGCCGGTTGGGCATCTTCTATGACTCCTGGAAGTTCACATATGAGGAGCAGGTCATACATGAGGATAAATACAATCCATTAGAGAGGGAAATGGCAACCCACTTCAATATTCTTCCAAGAAAACCAAATGGATATTCACAACCAGGACAACGTCAACATGATACTGGAAGATGAATCCCCCAGGTTAGAAGGTATCACGTACAATAAACTACTGGGGAAGAATAGAAGGCAAGTAAGAACAGTGCTGGTGCTGCTGTTGTAGCTCGATTAAAGCTGAAAGAATGTCCAGTTGCTGATGTGCCCAGAGGCAAGATGCAAGCTTGATTCTACATAGTTACATATATCATTAGTATGTGGAATATCAGAGCCATAAATCAAGGTAAACTTGATGTTGTCAAGAATAAATATTGACATTGTGGGAATCAACAAACTGAAATGCCCTGGAATAGGTCACTTTACATAAGAAGAGTATTAGATCTAATGTGGATGAGAAATCATAGAAGAAGTGGAATAGCCATCATTATTCATATCCAAGTCAAAAAAATATTGCGGTGATCCAATAGCACAGAGGCAGAGGAAATAGAAGTTGAATAGTTCTATGATAATGTGCAATGCTTTACTGATATAACACCCCCAAAATGGCATTCTTTTTATAGGTGATTGCAGTGCTAAAATTGAAAATAAAATAACATTTGGAATAATGGGAAAGTTGGCTTCAGTGTAGAAAAGGAAGCAAGAGACAAACTAATAGAGTGTTGCTGAGGCAATTTAAAGTTTATAGCAATTTCCTTATTTTAATAATCTAAAAGATGACTTTACATATTGCTGGTTGGACAACATTGAAGTCAGACTGAAAATATAAGCTGCAAACAAAATCAGAAATTTCAGTCAGCATAAACAAGACCTGGTGCTGACTACAGCTCAGATCATGAATATTTTCTAAATTACAGTTTAAATTAAACATTCATCAAACCAATAACATACAATTCAGCAATAGTCCATAGGATTATACAGTGGCGGTAAATCATAGATTTAATGTAGCAGGTGTGATAAATGACAATTCTGGACTGAAGTTTGTAACATTTGCTATAACATTTGTAAAGCTGGAGCAAAACAAAAATATCCTGATATGCAGAAAAAGCAAAAGAAGGTGAAATGGTTGTCTTCTGTTACTTTGAAAGTAATTGAAAAAGGTGGAAAGCAAAAGGCAACAAACATATTTGCTCAAGTAAACATCAAGTCCCAGAAAACAGCAAGAGACAAGGAAATATCCTCAATTTCCTTGGATTGCATATTTAGATGTAACAATTAAAAGGGAAAGATGAGAGCTTTATGGAAATCATGGAAGTTAAGGGAACCTATTATGCAAAGGTGGCCTCCATAAAAGACAACAAAGGTAAAGATCTATTGGTAAAAGAAGATGGTATGAATAAATGGAAGATCTGTACGAACAAAATAACAGAACTGATGATATAGGCTAAAGAAGTGACATTTTCAAAACTGAAGTTAAACAGGTTCTAGAAAACATTGCTAACAAAAAAATTGTAACAGTTGATGAACTACTAGCCGAACTGTTCAAAACCTTTCAATTTGATCCAGTTAAAGTACAGGTAGTCCTCAACTTATGACCATTCGTTCAACAACTGTTCAATGTTACAATAACACTGAACGAGAGGGACTTACAATGGGTCCTTGGAGTTCCAGCTGTCGCAACGTCCCCACGGTCATGTGATCATGATTTCCAACATTCCCTGCTGGCTTCCCACAAGTGAAGTCAATGGGGAAGTCTACAGGAAGTCAGAAGTTGCTGTCACATGAGGTCCTTGGTTAAGGACTCGCATGGTTCCCATTTAATGACAGCAACCAGGAGTGTCAGAATTGCTGTCGCTAAGTGGCGCAGCCACATGACATCGCACATTACAACTGTGTCCCTTCGCAACAGCAATTCCGGTTCCAACTGCTGTTGTAAGCCAAGGAGTACCTGTACTATTTGCAGTTTATAATCAGTAGGAGTCAAGGAAATGAAATAGATCAATTAAGGAAACTCTTTTTTTTCCATTTTTAATTTTTATTAAAGGTTGTAAGTATAATAGTAAAAGCAAATACAAATTAAACTCCGAAAAAGAGAGGAAAAATAAAAAGCGCAAAGAAAAAGAAAAAGAAAAAAGAGGAAAGTAGTATAATAAAGAAAAAAAATATGTAAAGAAGTGACTTTCAGTCTTCATCACAACAAATAAAAACAAATTTGATAACTCATTACCCCCTATAAGATTGCAAACAAATATATCTCTTCTTCCCATAACTCATCCCTTCTATATGCAATACCATAAATTATGAACTTTTCAGTCCTGGTGTTAGTAAAAAGTCCATAAAGAGTTACCAGAGCTTTATAAAATGTCTTATTTTAAGCTTAATTAAACAAACCAACTTTATATTCCTTTCTTTTACTTCTAACAATCTTGATCTTTAATTCATTCAGATGTTTTTCTTTTTCCAATCACAGAGGCTTTTTCAAGGCTTCAGCAGATCTCTTTTGTAAATCCAATGGAAAGTCATTACCCAGGTCATTGTCTTGATTTGACTTTGTATTTCCCCTTTGATTTTCAGTCTTAACCAGCTTGTTTTGTATATCCAGTAAAAGGTCCTTATCAGGGTCGTTCTCTTGTCTCTTCTCTATCTTGTAATCCACACTTTTTCCTATCATTTGTATTTCCAATTTGAATGCCTTGTATGTTCTATAATCCACACTTTTTTTAATCCAATATTTCTGATTCCATTATTACTGCATCAAGCAAAATTTGTTTCATGCTAGTCATTCCTTCATTAACATCTTTTAGACATGATTTATCCAGAGAAGCAGACATCATTACTGATATTGTTGATATTGTGGTTACTAATTTCTGGCCCCATTCTTTGACAATCTCCTTTAATATTTCAAATGTTACAGTGTTTTGTGTCATTTTGTAAATCCCAATCCTAAAGGCAAGATTTTTTTTTCTTTTTTGCCTGGACTTTAGTCCCCTCTAGTGTCCAATTTAATCAAAAGGTCTTTTACTGCTGTTATGACTTGCGGTAATCAAAACAATTCTGGTTCTCATAAAAAGCTGTTTATTTTATATAGTTAATTCCAAAATCTTATAGTAAAAAATTTCAATATTCCAAATTTGTCTGGACTCTTAATTTGTTTATAACTTTCTTGTTCGAAATCTTAAACAAGATTTTGCTGTTTATTTCAAATTCTTTTAAGTACTTAAACTTATAGTAAATTTTTCTTTTGTTCAGGAACAAAGATACACTCACCAGGTGATTTTTCAGACTTGTCATTCTGAAGACCTCTAATAGCCTTAAGATATTTAAATAATTAGATAATAAATAATAAAATAATAAAATAACATAATTAAATTAATAAGCACCGATGATGTTAACTAGTTGGGTAATAAAATGTCTGCAACCAAACAACCAAGCTCACAGAACACCAAGAACTCCACAGTTCAACCTGGAGCTACATATATTCTCTTCTATAGTTAAATAAGCAATTTCAAAAATGATTAGAAGTGAGGTTAGCAAACTTAATGTCCTTTAAAAGTGCCACCACAGTTGCAAACAAGATGGCTAATCCCATTGTCCCCCAGTGCTCCAACCCACAGAAAATTGCTGCCCTACAGTCTACTCGCAAGGAGCAGCCATCTGGAGCACATGCACAATCTCCTATTCTCTCCTTGTCCAGAGAGGTTCCGAAGAACTGGTCTACTCGTTGGTTCTTTGGTCTTTGCCTCAGTCATCATCTCCAGTCTCTACAGAGATGTGTTTAGCTCGCCATGCCTCCACCAGAAGTCCAAATAAGGAAACTTGTTGAAGATGAAAGAAGAGAATGCAAAAGCTGGCCTGTTCAGTACTGAAAAATCTAAGATTATGTCAATGTGCAATGTTAACCTAATTCAGATTTGTGGAGAAGTTGAGGTAGTAACAACTTTATCTTCTTAGGCTCAAAAATATTGAAGTGTAGAGATATCACACTGACAACAAAGGTACTTATTGTCAAGTCTATACTTTTTCCAGTAGTTAACCTATGGCCATGGAAGCTGGTCCAAAAATATATATATATATACAGTATACGTACATGTATATGAAGAAAATTTGAATGCCTTTGAATTGTGATGCTAAAAATAATTGTTGAGAATACCTTGGTCTGCAAGAGGTACACATAATTCAATAGTAGTGGAAGTAAAATTGGATTGCTCACTTGAAATACTAATAATGAAGCTGAAGTTTACATATTTTGGACACGTAAAGTGAAAGTATTAATTACTGGGAAAACCCTGATGCTTAAAAAAATCAAAGACAATTGAAAAAGAGGCTGTCAGAAAACAGGTTGGCCAGATACTATCATTGATGATACAAACATGAACTATCTTATTTGACAGATAATCCTGGCAAAATGATGTACATCAGCTCATGAAAAATACAAAGTGACTGAATGACAATAGTGAATCCTGGAGAATCTAATTTGCACAGAAATATTGCATTGTTGAAATAGCATAAACAGTCTGAGATTAAGAACATATAGACTAGAGATAGACAACATGTGAATCTCCAGAAGTTCAGTTCCAGGTACATCTCCCATGAGCTATAGCCAACATGGCCAATAGTGAAAGGTAGTAAAGAGCTGAAGTTGTAGAAAATCTGGAAGGCGCCATGGAGTCTATCCTTGTACATATGGCCAAATTAATGTCAGAAGCAGATAAATAAAAAGCTAGGATAATATGTTGGGTGGTCTTATATGAGACACACAGAAGATGTTTTTCAGTGTTTCTTATTATAGCACAATTACTCTTTGTTTTTAAACATACATTTTATTAGCTTAAAGCATCATTCTCATGAAAAAGTAGGATTTCATATTGTTGATGAAGGTAATAGCAAGAAATACTAGAATAGCTCAGACTGATTTTCATCTTTCTTTTTTTCCCCTTCTTCCTCTTTTTTTTTTCTTAGGACGGCTCGTGCCTCTGCTGGGCCTGTTTACAAAGGTGTTTGTAAGCAGTTTTCACGCTCCCAGGGCCATGGTTTCATCACCCCAGAGAATGGCACAGAAGACATATTTGTACACGTTTCTGAGTGAGTTCTATGGGGAATGGAACATTTATGTTTTTAGTGGCTTGTGTGTGGGGCAGAAATAGCATGTTTGTAAGTCATGATCCCTCTTTTCTCTCTCCACCCCAACTTGCATCATTTACATTACTGTAGTCTCATGCACTACATGTTCTTTCACGTATGGATGCTGACAGGAAAAAAAAATGTATGAACCAACTTTGTCTATCTTCCTGCTCCTCTGCATACTCTAATACAATAATCACTTATATACATCTGTGATACAGTCCTTCCATTTCAATTTCTACAAGGATATACTGTTCTCCTGGAACTTTCTGTTGAGCCAGTTGTGGCAAGATAGACAAGCACGTGTGGATGTATCTGTGGTGTGCAGAGCATTCTGAATTGTCAGTTTGTCCCCTTGTTTTGAGGATTTGTAAGGTAGCTCAATCATTGCATTGATAAGGAATACCAATCATAGATTGGTTCAGGTGACCCAATGCCAGCCTAATGGGATGGAGACCCCAAATCCAAAAATCATTTGGCCTGTTGATGACAATGAGGCACTTTTTCTCCCAATTTCAAGACAGCAGGGCAGAGGGGTTGATGTTCTGGTGGTGCCATGTCCTGAAAAAAAGCTTTCCCACCAACACTATTCAAAGCAGTGTGCTAAGTGAAGATGGTCAAAACATGGATGATTTTAATCCCTCCATTATGTTCCAGAAGACTCTGGTTCTTCAAATTTGCCTTAATGGAGATGAGTAAGGAGCCCTTGTGCCATCTCCTGAAATGCCCAGACATCATCTCTCCCAGCCTTATTGATCACTTGGACTCAGATGGCTACAACTTTGTGCCTGAAAGTTGAATAGGAACATCTCCCGTGTTCTAGTTTTTTAGCCATCACAGTCAAAACCATTTTGACCTACAGATCTATCATTTTACTTGGTGTGCCTTTAAACAATAATACAAATGAGTCTTGTGGCATCAAGAACAGGGGTTCAGGATTATTGAGATTCTTACAAGAAATCTTGAAAGAGGGAGCTAGTGGCTAATACATTACATAGGCAGCTGCTCTTGGCGAGGCACATCCTTATGTGGCCACCCTCATGCATGCTGCTTCTGCAGTGCTACAAGACTTCTCTCTCACTGATCATTCACCATTTTCTTTCATTAGTTATTTGGGCTCTAACAACTGCTCCCTTTGAACTTATCAGATCCCATTAACATCATCTTCTGGAAGACAGCCTTTCTGGTAGTTCTGGCTTCAGCTAGGTGGGTTGGGGAAATTAGGGTCTCTTTCTGAAAGAGGGGAATCTATGTGTATTCCATCAAGACAAGGTGATGCTAATATCAGATCCCTGCCCCATATCCAAAATCAATTCCAAATTCTATTGAGTGCAAGAAATCATTCTCTCCCATTCTGCTGAAAGGAGATAAATTCGGAGACAGTTCAAGTGACTAAGGGTCAAATTGTTAACTACTTTTCTGTGTTTGCTATCTGTCATGCGTTATTCTTCCATTTTTGTGTGTTTTTGGTAGCGGCAAGAGTTTTTTTTGTTGATACAGTGAATTATTCAACAAAGAAGTTGAATTACGCTCAATTGAAGCCAGTGCTTGTGTCTGAAAACAGGGTTTTCCTCCACAAAACAGGAAAAAATCTTACTGTAAATGTTGTCTTCTAGCTAAAAGATGTAGAGTTAACCATTTTCTGTTGTCATCTTTGAGTGGCCAGAAAGATGCTTCATGGTAAATGCAATAGAAAATCTTATTAAAAATAAATTTGGGCTAATATTTCAAACCCTAACATTTTAATTCTGCTAGGATGGCAGAACTCTTCCTAAATGAGTATGCTTACAAAATGCACCAAGTGTTTGGAGAAATGTAATTCCCATCTTGTTGTGGTGTTTAATTTTATACAGTTTTTTTTTTTGATAGCTCTGTATGTTGTTTTTAGCAATTGCTTATCCAGATACTGATGCACTGAAGCTTCCTAGGGGAATACTGTTGGTTTTTAATTTGTTATGCTTTGTCTGTCACGTTTAATTACATCAATTTCTTTCCACCATAATTTTGTTCAGAGCTCTGAAATGTTCCTTCCTCTTTTTCTTTTTCAGCATTGAGGGGGAATATGTCCCAGTAGAAGGAGATGAGGTCACATACAAAATCTGTCCCATCCCACCAAAGAATCAGAAGTTCCAGGCTGTGGAGGTGGTGCTCACCCATTTAGCACCACATACAAAGCATGAAACATGGTCAGGCCAAATAATTGGCTCATAAACTGCTTCTTGAGCCTGCAGGCCATCAGGAAGTGGAGTTGAGTGATATGGTGGGTGGTGGAACTGCTGGAGCAATGGAAGAGCCAGGCTGGCAATTTTTGTTTGCTGTGTGACATGTTTGCAATTTTATCTTGTCTTTTCTAAGATTTAACCTTTAGTTTGTAAATGTGCTTTTTTGTTTATAGAAGGCAAGCAAGAAGTGGAAAAGTGTTGCTGGGTAGATTTACTCATAAGTCATTAGCTCCTGCTGTACCCAATTGGACAGAAGAAATGTATTATCAAAGTAGTATTTATTGGCCACAAAGACTGATATTTATCTGGTTGCTATGCTAAACACATTAATAATGAAATTGTCTATTATCCTGCCCCTTTACCAAATTTTTCCCTTACATCCTCAGCAGGGGCTGTTGCATTGTTATTCAGCACCCTTCTCAGCCAGAACAGGCACTCAATGAAATGGTACTTTTCAGGGCACAGTTCTGCATGGTCCAAACATAGTGAAGCTGTCATTCTTCCAGAGCTTTTCTAAATCATGCAAACTGCAGGGATGCGTGAAGGTTTTTTTTTTTTTTTTTGGAGGGGGTGTATTTCTTACATGTATAATCATATGCAAAGAAAAAGCCTACAGGCTTGCTCCTGCACATGGATGGCACTTCTCTACATTTCTGTTCAACTTTGGTTGAGACTGAGATCAATAGCTTGGTCACCACTGTTGTGTATTTGATTATTGGTCTAGTTGCAAATCTTCTTTCAAAAACATTTCATACACAGTATCTGAAGTAGTTATGCAGTAATCCAATAGAATGTAACACTAAAGAAGGAGTATTTCTAAAGACAAATTGATAACTCACTGTGATGTTTTGCTCAAACTTGTCTAAAAATAGGTGGAGGGATTTTTTGGTCTTGTAAAGGATGATCTTACCAAATTCAAAATTAGTATCTTCTGCTTGTTGTTATGCAAAGGAGTCAGTAAAATTTTGCAGATAATTGTTTGCTGGAGGTGGTTGAAGGAGCCGCCTTTCTAAATCTATTAGTCTCAAATTGACTTTAATTTTTTTCCATATGCACCACAGTGGTTTGTCCCAGGTAGCCTGAACTGTAGCAGTATCTTGCTTCCAGACTGTTGTGATATACATTCAGGTTATACTTAACACAAAGGTTTTCTTGTTTCTGCTCTTAATTGTAAACTAAGTTGCATCTGTTTTTTTAAATGGTAGCAAAGTATACCGTAATACAGGAATAGTAATATATGTTTTTTCCATTAATTGCCATTAAAAGCGTGTGTCCAAGAGTAAAGGTATTCTAGAATTCAGCCTCTACTGAAATGTATTATTTTGCTCACATTGCATTTTTCATATATATTACAGTGTTAAGTATTGCCCATGATTGGATTTGTGTCTACTGAAAGTAATACATAATAATAAAATCCCATGCAGATTAAGCTGTTTTTGTTAGAAGACTATATTGTTACAACATTCAAAAGAGACTAGAACATCGTCTCAACATCGTATCCTCCAGATGTTACTGGGAGTTGCAGTTCCAATACATTTGGAGTGTACCAGGCTAGGAAAATCTGAAATAAAATAACCAGGAAGCATCTGTTTTATCCTCTTCCATTATGAATGGTAGTTTTTGGCCATGAAGATCTGCTTGAACAATAGCATCTTTGTTTATTACATTTTCAGAGATGTAGGCTTCAGTATTATCTGCATGTAATTGCACTTCTGAATATTTTTCATGACATGTTTTCTCAGAATGGATGTTTAGGCTAATTCTCCCATTCTCCCTTCTGTTGTTCTAACTTCGACATTTTAATGATTACCCTCTGTGTGTCTGGAGAATGAGGATTATGTATAGAAGAGATGAAGGAATGGTCACCAGAGGTAAGATTAATGGGTAGTATTAAATAATGGTATCTAGTAGTATTGTATTGAGTTTCCTTCAGTTTTTCTAGTTCTACCCAGTCTTTCCCCAAACATCTTAATTCCCCAGGATATACAGGGTCTTGTTTAAAAGCACAATATTGGGTTTATAATAATCTTCTAGATATATTAAGAAGGGTTTCCTAGGATACCATGTACACACTAGGAACTTGCATGGAATTGTCAAGCAGTCTAAACTGTATGATCTGCTGAGTTGAAAGCATTTGGGCAGTGTCACGTCTGAAGCTGTATGATCTTGGAGAGAAAGATGTATATGGATGGTAAGTTTTTAAATTAATGCATGAGAAGCAAGCACCAAACTTCTAGCAATTAGTGGGTGTGTTTAAATAAATGGTGTAAGTAAGAATGTGAGAGCTGAGGATGTAGTGAGGTACTCTTGAATGAGATGAGGGAGCCTGATAGGTAGGCCCTCTAGCATAATGGTACTGCAGTACGTTGGGATAAGACTGGTGTCTATAAAGAGATGCTTTTTGTATTTGGGATGTGTTTCCAGAGTCCTTAATGAGGTGGTGTGTGTGTGAATGTCTGTCTAACATACTTTTACTGTTCATATTTGTGGGATTTCAGCCCCTTTGATCTTTTACAAACTTGCACTTAGGTGTGAGGTGAGGCTGAGGGTCCAGGATAGGCTGTTTGCTCTGTAGAAATAGTCCTCCGATGACAGCCTGATGTTCATATTTAGTTTTCAAGGGGGATGTCCCACACAGATAGTTTAGTTCTACTGTATACTGCCAACCTAGAATCATGGGAAATTTTATGCAAGTTTCCCAGAGGGGGTTTTGTTCTGCTGTATTTGTATTTCAGCCTAAAAGGCTAAAAAGAAACCTCTGGTAGCTGTATGGATTTGGGGGCTTCCGAATGATACCAGAACTGTCTGTAAGGATGTCATAGTCTAAGGCAGTGTTTCTCAAACTTGGCAACTTTAAGATATGTGGACTTCAATTCCTGAAATTCCCCAGCCAGCAGACTGGCTGGGGAATTTCAGGAGTTGAAGTCCACGTATCTTAAAGTGTAAGGTCAATGTAACCTTTCCCAGCTTAGTTCCCTTCCGATTTGCTGGGGCTGAAACTCCCAGAAAGCCACATTACGTGGGAATTCTGGGATCTGCCGTTTCAATACACCTGGAGGGTGCCAAGTTAGAGAAGGCTTCCACACAATTCTTTCTTGGGTGGATTGCACACCACAGTTGAGTTTTTAAAATGTTCCCCCATAAACCTGATGTGGGTAGAAATGGGGTGCAGCTTTAAGAAAAGTTCTAGCCTAGTTCTTCCTCATAAGCTTGTTTCCTCATACAGGAAAATTAAAAAAAAAATAACATTCTCCCTTCGTTCCCAATATACTGTTAATTAACATAATCCAGGAAGTCTCTGTGTGGGTTTATTAGAAATGTGTTTGCAATAGGAAATAGGAAATGTCTTTCCAAGCAAAGGTATACAAAAGCTGGTTAAGTTCATTCTGGGGGACGTTAGTTTTCTTTTGTTCCTGAAATTTCTTCTTCCCATTATGCCAGTGATTATGTGAACATTCTGCCTCCTTCAGTTAAAAAACTAAATAAAACATTCCCAATGGTTTATTCTGAAAAGAAACTCCATACATACAAGAGAAAATGGGGAATAGTGACTAAAGAAATTATCATTCATCCTGTACATAGATACAGAGGGAGAATTTTTCTGGACCTTTTCCTCAAGATTCAACAGCTGCTGTCCAGCCCAATGAAGTGAGGATCTGAAGGCAGCCACTTTCCTTTTGCTGTATGAGGCATCTCCCTGTGACAGCCAGAGGAATGTCCTGCACACATGTAACACCAGCAGCTTCTAGCCTATCTCCCTCGTTGATGGTGCAATACCAGTGGGAGTGCCACAAAACTGTGACTTCTCTGAGAATGCTTTTTAATTCTTTCTGAAATAACCTTGTTATCTATAGTGTGTCTGTGTTCTGACAACTTTTTGTGTGGTTCTTGCCTCTTTGATCCCATGTTGATCTTTGTAACACTGGCAATAAATCATTAAAGTGACTTTCCAAGAGTCTTCCCTGTCTTGACATTTTTCCTTTTCACAATGCTCTTTGGACATGACAATGTCTAAGGATGTTGGGTAAAGGGAATGGGGTGGCTGGTCCTAGAGTTCTTGATGCAGAGATGGAGGATACTAACCTGGTGGAAACTATTATTTGAGGTTAGCAGCATAATGTATGCAGTCTACTTGGGGGTGGGGAATATTTGCTCTCCAGTCATTGGTAGACTGCAGCTCCTATCACTGTATGGCATTGGCCATGCTGGTTAAAACTAATAAGGGTTGGCACCGAACAACTTCTGGAATGTCACATATGTGAATTACTTTGCAGTGAAGTCAGGTCACTGAAACATCTAACCCCAGTACAATTACTAATAGCCTTGCTAGGTTTCAGATTATGCATTTTCTCCTAATTTCTGCTACGTTTAAGTTTGTAAGTGCATCTGTTCGTGGGTTTTACCAGTGATCTTTATGAACCTTATGATTCTTACCTGGTAGTAGCTATCATTTCTAAGCTGAAGATAGTAAATCATATACACTTTAACACATTGCATGCCATTCAGTTCCAAAGACAGAATTTTTAGCTTAAATTTTAATGAACTTCAGCATGAAGTCATATTGCTTATTAATTTCCTACTGTGCCTTTACTTTTGTTTAATTTCATATCAAGTTACAAATGTGAACTACAAAACAGATACTTGACAATAGTAGGTTCTCATCTTTAACTCCATTTTATTAATGTCATACCTTTCTAGTGATATAAAAGCTGCCTTGGAACGAAGTCCCACAAATCTGTAGCTACAGCAAAGTAATTGGCTTCTCCAATGTAAGTGGCATCAAAATAAACATTCCTGCTTAATAAGGTGGGGGTCTGTTTTTTGATCCATCTGAGAAACAGGCCATTTTGTGGCTCTCACAGTAATCATTACATTCCTGTATTAAGTAGTTCATAACACCCCTGCTGGAAAAGAAATGGAAACTAACATAAGAAGAGCTGGCAATATTTATTTTAAAGCAGAAGCCTCAGCAACAGATAAGAATGGGTCAAACTCATTACATTATTAATATCAGCCTCTTCTCACCCTTTTATTTCTTCAATTCATTCATTTGCATCACAGCACAAATTCAGAAGGAAGCAAGGGATGAAATGCTTTCAAGTCTTTGGATTAATGCCATGGTTATATTAAAGCTGAAAGCATCCATTCCATTATGTAATAGTCCACTGAACATACTACATCATGAAGGTTATTTTACTTCTATGAGGTGAAGGGCAGCCCTCATGCACATGTAAGGGGCTGTACTTTCTGGTTGCTACAAATGGCATTTCCTTCCTGGAGCTTCAGTAAAATCATAGTAGTGATTACACATAACATTAGATGAAATATGTTTCCCCTTCAATCTGTAATGCAGTACTTCCTATAAGAAGAACAGAGTGATGGTGCATCAATGATTACAAGGAGGCAAAACAGTTTTTTCTGTTATGTGAGACTGAACATGTGTGTATATTTAGATCTGTAGAAAGAGTAAGTGCAAGAAAATATACATACGGACACTTCTGTAAAGTGGGTTATCCTCTACTTCCATCTTCTCCTGACTGGTCTCCTTATGCATTAAATCACAATTTGAATAATCCCCAGTCACCTTGGTTAGGGATGATTCACTGAACCACAATTGATCATAAACCTAGCACCGGTGTAGGACAGACTCTACAAGGGAAGGAGGTCAGGCACTTTGTATTTTGAGGATTCCAATCTGCCACTCACTTGATAAATCATAATTTGCCTTCAAATGTTTTTATTACCTAATGCAGCACTATAAATTAATCTCTTTCCCTAATAAAAACATTTACTAAATTCTTAACTTTGTCTATTCAGACTTCTTGTTTTGCATAAGAGAAACGTGGATCTGAGTAACGTTTGATCTGTATGTTTTCAGAGATGGGTTTTAGCATCTGCTGTTGTCCCGTCTGGTAATTGTAGTCTGTTGCAGACAGGATGTATTACTGGCTCTAAAATACAGATATGGCTATAGCCTGGTTTTTTAACATTTTCCTCTGCCATCCCAAAGAACTACTTCTCTGCTTCTTTTAAGACCTAAATAAGAAGTAGGCAATAGATAAATAGTAATCTGTTGGGGATTGCCTGATGGGTGGGGTTGAAGCAAATATTAGATCGGGTCAGAGCCAAAGAGTGATGGGAACACAAAGTATTTTTTTGATGTTCTTTTTCTCACTTGCAGAGAAGAAACTGATAACCTAATTAGAACTTACTTGTATGTATGGTGGGTGCGTAGATATGTTGAAATTACAGACTGTATGAAATTAGTCTAAGGGCTCTATGCAACATTAGAGTTGTAGGTTGCCCATCCCTGAACTAGTTTGGAGTTCTAGATATTATTATCTAACTGTGGAATTTGGAGTTATAGTTTATTCTCATGGTACAATATAATTTCATCTATCATCTGAGCGGTTTTCGTTTACTTATTTCAAGAATCCTAAGAGTTGAAACATGCTTATTAATTGGGGAGGACAAACCAGCTATCCTTCAGTTGGTCTCTCCCCCCCTGCCCCATTCAGATATAATCTGAATGGGATGTTGGTCCCAACAATAATAGTTATTACATTTTATCAGTGGGAATCTAAATTTGAAACTGCACAGAAAATGAAGAAGGGACAAGAAGATTCAGACTGATTGGGCAATGGGAAGAAAGTGCAAGTAGACAATATTCTAACAACTGAAGCTCATGCAAGGGCTGCTCCCCAGGCCTAGGTGTGAGAAGGTGCAGTTGCAATATGCAAGGCTGCTAAGATATGTTGACCTCAACACACAAACTCTGCAAAAGCTGATTTTTATTGGTCCAAAAATATATTATCTACGATAAAATAAACCTGCACATCAAGCTCGTACTTTAAGAAAAATAGATGATTTCACATGTTAGATCAGAAGCCACAGAATATTCTAACGGATACCGAAAGCTGAGTAAAATGTTGGTGTGTCTATGGTTCATCACTTTCAATGGAATCTGTATTGCAAAGTTACTTTTTCCCTCCCGTCATGCGCTCTCATGACTAATAATGGATTGGGGGTGTTTTCCCTATTCATTCATTGTTAGCTTGAAAAAGGACCCGATTCCAATTAAAAAAAAAATTGGCAGGCCATCTTGAGGGTTCAAGAATATGAAAATACTTTGAAAGGTTAGGTCCTTTTCTCTTTAACCTACCAATAAATATTATTTTAATCTCAGAAATTAATCTGGGTGAATGCATGAAGAGATTACCAGACTTCTGGCTCTCTCCTTCTCTCTCAGAGGATGGGGTATGGCAGTCAGGGTTCTGCAGGATCTTACTACCATGAAACGGTGAGGCCCTTTAGCCCTCTTTCCATTTTCATACTTCACCTCCATTTCCACCTTGGGCTTCAGCAAGTCTTGACATAATTCAAAAAGTGCTTTTATGATGGGAATAATAAAAGTAGCAGCAGCAGATCCATGAGTCATGATTCGTTCATTGTCTCTGGAAAGAAGATCTCTTGACATCGCCGAACCGTGTCCTGGGGAATAATAAAAGTAGCAGCAGCAGATCCATGAGTCATGATTCGTTCACTGTCTCTGGAAAGAAGATCTCTTGACATCGCCGAACCGTGTCCTGGGGAGAGTGGATACTATGTCCTACTGTCCGAGGATCATCGTAGATTTCATAATCATTCCCACCCTAAAGATATGAAGAGTGTTATTCCACCTGCTTTATGCTTTTTAAGTTCATGAGGCTGGAAGTGCTGTGACAATGGAAAAAAATATACACCCAGTCCTCCTGCCTCCATCGAGACAGGGTACCAGCCTCCACTTGGATTAGCCCATGCCAATCTGGATGTGCCAACTCCCTGGGCAAAGTTATAATACATTTAAAATCCATATTTGAGAAAGGCTACAAAGGGGCTTAAGAACCAGATTAAGCAAGAATAAAATTTGAACTACTACTGAAATGGAAGGAAGTCTTACTCTTCATAGCATGGTAAAAGGGCCTTACTGACTTCCCCCAGTTAGTTTGTGATACTTTTGAAAATGCATATTACTTTAATATTCTGCAATTCATCCACATACCACAGGTCACCACCTTGCTGGAACCCCTGCCCCACCACCATCCATAATGGACCTCAATGTTCCCCAAGCTTTGGTCTTCCCCACTTCTGTAGTCTGTAGAAGTGCTTGACTTTAGATACCGTGGTGGCTTGTGAAGTTCAACACATCTAGAGATAAACAATTTGGGAATAGCTGATGTATTTGATGGCAGAAGAGGGTTACACAATCAGTACAGAGTGCAAGATTCATTATGTCTATGTGATAATAATGTTGCCTGCTTAATTTTCCTCTTCCTTTATTTTCAGATTAGTTTACAATTCTGACCAAGAACAAAGTTTCTTTTGTGGAAGCCAGATCCTTTCTGAAATGCTTCAATGAAATGGAATCCTAATAGGGAGTAACAGGCCTATAGGTCAGACTGGGAAGTTAAACTTCAACTTGAAGGAGACTTTACTTACTCCAATGTGGTGCCCTTCAATGTGCTCCCCACCCACATTGTTTATTATTCCCAGATGGCATCACCCTTAGAACATGTTCATATGGAACACCTGAGTCTGGCACTAGGCACTACTAAGTGTTTTCCCCCTTCTTTGTTGTTAGCATTTGCCCTCCTTTCTTTGTTTTATATAATGGGATTAGCTACTTTGGATGGTACTCAAGCCACATTACAGCTGTCACTTTCTGCTTTTTTTCAACACTTCAAATAAAAATCTAAAGTGACCTGATCAAAGCTGAAGCCACCATTAACAGTGTGAGGGAAGATTTAGCCACCCACCATCCTTATTCTGTCTCCATTTCGTGCAAGCCCATGGAAGAGCTGAACAAAATGAAAAAAGAAAAGCTACGGAAGTCTTTTTTTTCCAGTGACTTTAATCTCTTCTCCAAAAAAGCAGGTTAGTCTCAAAGTAGCCCCCCCTTTTATGTTTCGATGAAACAGCCCATGGAAAAGAGTGACCCAACCATCAGAGCTTGTCTTGGGATACGCTTGCAAGACGTTTATAAACCTGGCTTTGTTGTACAAACAAGGCCTTGGTCGTGGCACTGGAAATTCTGGTCAGGGAAACATAGGACTCTTCAATTTGAAAACAGACAATGTCTGAGGCTCCCAAGTATGTCTACTGATGTTTTCAAACATTGAAATTATACTTTGAACATTGCAGAAAAGACACCTTTGAGCCAAGGTGGTAACTGGGCTCTGAGAAGAGCTTGTTCTCATAAGAAAAAAGGAAGCATTCTCTTCTGTCCTACACAGGTTGGGCTCTTGTCAAAAAGCAGGGGGTTTCCCATCATATACTTACAGGGGTTGTCTCATTTCCAAAGAAATGTATGACATCAAATCTCTCATCCTCAAGGATGTTGAGGCAATAGCGTTTGTCCCAGCCCTCCGGAAAGACATCAAAACTAATCATGCCACCTGCCAGGTTTAGAGAAAATTAAGTGAAAAAGAGATGATATTTTTTTAGGGTAAAATCCTTCCTTCACTATCCCTGGCATATGACAAAGTGCAGCTTTGTGCAAATAAAAAAATGTTACATCACACATGGATCTGCACTGCTGCTGTCTGCCTGATTCTCAGACACATTAATGTTAGAACTGAGGTTTCTATAGCAATGAGATGAAATGGCACCAGTGGTGGGCCCTCAGCTGAACACACAAACATGAAACAGTTGGTCTGAGTGCACATGATGTGCAGAGTTCAAGTACATTTCAGAAAAATATGTGAAATCATCTTGCTTAGCAATATGGCTAATGGAAGAAAGGATTCTTTTATCATGCTTTAGTACAGCTGGACTGCAAAAGGCACTCTTGTTTATCATGAGGTCAATATAACATGCATGGACATAGCAGATGCCTCACGTAATTCAATTTAACCCTAGCACGACAGGGAGCTTCTCCATGAGTACTTAGAGTATCATCTCTGCCACTTTGGCAGCCCAATGGTTGTATTCTACCTAAATCAGTCTGGCATGCTGGTAACAGGAATAGCAGGAGCCACCACTACCATAAGGAATGGTGTCTCTTGCTAGCAGCACAGGAAGAGATTAAATAATATCTCCTTTTGCTGGGGCATCAGTGACGCTATTCATAGATTAGCCAAGTGAAAAACTGATACAAAGAGGTAGAGAATGTGCAAAACTTCCACTTGCATGAAAAACTTACCTGAGTACAACTCTTTCTTCCTTCCAAGAATGCCTTAGCATTCTTGTGACATCCTTTCGGTTATTTGAAGAATGCTCTCATATTCCCCCTCAGTCTTCCCTTCTCAAGGCTAAATACTGTATGTCCTGCTTCTTCAATCTCTCTTAATGGGGCTCAATGTCCAGTCCCCTTAACATCTCCATTGCCTTTCTCTAAAACTTAAAATGTGGTGCCAGAGCAATGTAGGAATGGGATCTGACCAAAGTATAGCCATTATTCCCTGTGATTTGGAAACTTCAATTGATGCAAACTAAAACTGTACTTACCTTTCCTGCAGTCACACATCATTTTATATTCACCAAGAAAAACACCTGCCTGCTTTAAATAGAATTTGATTTTTATTTTCCAAATCCCACCCAAAATAAAATGCACTAAAAAGCATCCAAAATGACTGAGAAATTTCTTATGCTCACCTCGGGAAAATCGCAGCCCCTTGCCTGCAAACTCCCTCTGCAGAGCTGCTACAAATTTCTCTCGTATCTTTTCTTTCTACAGTGGAGGCAACCAAAAGCGTGAAAAGAGACACTTCAGTTATTTTTATTTATCAGATTTCACTTTTTTCTCCACAGAAACCAGTGCAAAGAGGTGTTCCAGCAAACGGTCAGATTAATCTTCTTGTATGGCTTCAGCTTCCAGGCATAATATGTCCTATTCAGAAAAGCTACAAATATAGATTTACACACCCCCTTACCCAAGATATCACTGGAATCCTAAAGCCATTGTGTATAATAAAAACATCCCCATTGAGAACCCATTGGGCAGCCTGATACTCCTACCTTGTCCAGCTCAGAAAATTCTATTCGTTCCTCCAAGCTGCAGCTTCGACCAATGGGAGAGATGTTCAACATTCCATTGCGAAATTCTATGAATGTTCCCCTTTGTATATTTGGAGGAGAAAGAAGAAACTTGAATATATGATAGGAAGGCAGGACTGTAGATTTGCAGAGGCTTAAAATCTCTTGAGGTTAAAGCAAAGGTGTGTAACCCATGGCCTAAAGATGGCATCCAGCCTCTGCCAACCACCCTATTTGAGAATCCCTAGCATTTCAAATTGAGTGCTAATATAGTTCCATTTCAGTGACACATTTTTAAAAGACAGATTAAGGATAGGAATAGGAGCAGGAAACTTCTGGAAGGCCAACTACTCCTATTTCTATCCTCATTACCCCTTCCCCCCCCGCACACATGCCAAATAGCCATTGGAGGGTGGCAATGGGAATGGGAGTTAAACTACTTCTAATTCACCCTTAATCCCTCCCAAATCTCAAACACAGCCCAAAGTTGCCTGAAAAAATACGGACTTTCGTGTTTTTTTTTTAGGGCTCAGGCAGATTGAAGGGTCTTTTATTCCTATGCCCACACTTAAAAGCAACTCCCTATCAATATAGGCTGAAATATTTCAACACTCATCTTTAAGATCATGCCTCCATGTCTCTCAACAGTCTCCTGTGAAGTGTAGGAGGGTGAATATGACACCCCCCCCCAAGATTATCTGAGATGGTTTAATCTACAGGAAATATTCTGACTACTTCCAAATTAGGGAGGAAGATTAAAGAATTTCTTCTCAATATGTTACTCAACTATACAATTTGTTACAAATTCTAACAAAATGGCTAAATAATTATAAGAAAATGGGGAAAGCTTTATTTGTGGACAAAATTATTCCTTGTCTGGGAGCAGAAAGCTGGGCATTTTTTTTCTTTTCCTACGATCATAATGCCATGCATTACGTGGTGAAATAGAATCTTCATATATCAATTTAAGGAAAGTACATTACCGTTTTTTAGGCAACTTTAGAAGTGCCATGTAATTAAGGCAGAAGTTGATCAGCTCTTGCAAAAGTTCCTCTCCAAGATGGTTCTGGATAGCCTATTGAACAAAGGATATAATGGGCAAAAATTATCCTTGTAACAGATAGCAGCAAATGGTTTCACTATATGTTAATTAGAAATAAAGGAGGAGGGTGCCAAAATGAGTAGAGATCAAAGTAGGTAAAATCTTAAAATGTTGCTCAATGAATATTATTTCATGATGTAAAACATTGGATACAATTTTATCTTCTGCAGAGGTAATAAAATAAATGACATTTCTAGATTGTCATCTCTGTATGAAGAGGATTGGGAGGAAAATAATAATCTTAGAACAGCCTCATTTGTCTTGGTGTCCTCCAAATGCATTAGAGCTATAATTTTCAGGAATCCCAACCATTTCTAAGAGTTACACATTTGGAGGATGTCAGATCAGGAAATGTTGCCTTATATTACACTATGGTATATTACACTATGAAATAATATTTTTCAAGCATCACCACTGAGATTTTGCTTTCCCCTTTTGAGGTTTATTAAAGGTCATGCAATCAGTGGTCATCCAGAGATAACTGAGTTTCAATTCCTAGCAAACTAAGTCAGCATAAGCAACAGTGAAGGCTGGTGGAAATAGCAATTCAGCAACAAAAATTATCCTCTTTTTTTTACAGGGTTATTCTTTTTTTCAGATTCCTATGTGAACCAGATGGGTTGAAAGGGCTTTGGATACAACCTTCTCCCCATGAATGACTTGGTGTGAAAAGGAATGGCAGGAGAATATTTGCAGCATTGATGGATAAACACAAAGAGGCTGGCCCTACCTGCTTGGAGACTAGTTGCCCATTCTTGTATTGCACAGTGCCATTTTCTGCAAAGACGTAATCAAACTTGTTGATGACTGTTGGAAATGTTGTTTGTTCCCAAATGTTCCCAAATGTTGTTGGGAGAGTGGAGACATTGAGAAAAAAAGCAATGGAAGAGAAATGAGTCAAATATTAATGCAACTCTCTCAAACTTCTCTTAAAAAGTTGTGCAAACAGTGATGCTCATTAATAATTTTAGGAGTGCTAAACTGGCAGACAGCAGTACATCCCTTTAAATTGTTAGTTCTCACCTTTCTTTGGAAGGAAGGATTCAGAATCTGATATCGTACTGTACAATATTTGTTACTGAGAATATGATGACTATGTGGAACACAGAATAACTATTCCATTTTTTTCCTGCACTGGATGTAGCTTACATTTGGTGAAATTCCACTAACTTAATGAACTATCTGGAAACATGGACTGGAAAGCAATATGTTCCTTTCATGCAAATTTATGTAAGCATGAAATATTAACATTTTCCAGCCTTACTCAGATTGCTGCAGGCTACAGGTGGGGGATTGATTGCTTATTACAGAAATAAAACTCCTTTCTCTGTTCTGAAAGATACTTTGTCCATAAGGGTCCAAATTGCAAGTTTTTGTTGTTTCCTAAATCCCTGCATCCTGGAGCGTTTCTGTGCTTGATTTATTCTCCTGGGTTTTCTTGTTATGTATGCACAACTGGACATTTAAGCTTAGAGCTTGCTGCATAAGTTCTGGGAAAGAGTATAGGAAGATATCTTGCAATGTTGCTCCTGTCCCAGATACCCTTAAAACTCAATTGATTTTCCTGCTTTGTTCTATGATTTTCAAGTGTTTGAATAGGGAGGAATGGCCAGTCTCCTGGCTGAGACTCTTAAAGAGTAAATTAAAGTAATAACTTGTCCAGAAGGATAGTTACAGCAGCCTTGCCCCAGGAGAACTCACCACAAGTTTCCATTTTGTTTGAATTATATTTCAATAACATGATTTGACACTAATATGCAGCAACTCCATCAATGTCCAACCAATAATAAGAAAACTATAATATAAAAATTAAGTGAGAGAAAATAAATAAATATACTTACCTTCATCTCCTTCTCCAAGCTGTTCTGCTATTTTGGAGTAGTCTGAGCCTCCAACCACCCCAATCATCACTCGTTTACGTAGCTCTTGAAGAAATTCTGCTACTTCAGGCTCAATTTTCTGAAGGAAACAGAGAAGAAGAGATTCTTATGGAAAAGCTATAGATAGCAGCACGGTGATATTACAGAGCAGACACATGCACAAAACTCTGAATCCTGTGTATCTTAAAATCTATCTAGTTCATCATGGTGGCAGAAGCATTCGTAAGCCAGGGCAATGGATGTTTAAAATCACCAGATAGATTGTAGTCAGTAGGCAAAAAACCAAATCAAACAAAACCAAAAAACTAGAAAACCTTATATAGCAATGCTGGGAGATCAATAAAATGTAAGAAGTTTGGACCGTCCAGGGAAAGGAGATTGGAAATGTACACTCAATTCCTCCTCCTGGTCATATTTCTTCCTCAGAACAACCTGATCTTTCTTTTATAAACAACACCAGACATTGCTGCCTTATATAGGTCTCATTTACTATTCTGTCATGATTTTTATTGCTTCAGGTCAATGATTTTTGCTTTTCGGACTTGGGGAATAACAGGTTAGTAATGAGGACATTTTCTTTCTAAATGATGGCTGGGGTGGTGGTAGTGATGTGCTGGCCACCTTGATAAAGAGCCAGATACTGCTTTAATTGTCCAAGTGTTTTGTTTTTCAGAGCTTGACCTGAACTGGAAAATTACATTTAGATTGAATGCAACAAAATGTTTCCACAGCATTCCTCCCAGTTTGTTCCTACACTCTGGAATTGACTCCCCCTTGAATTACATCAGCAGCCTGACCCCTTGAATTTGAAGGCACAAAAGAAACCCACACCCCATCAGCCCTTCAAGGTAGACCAGGAAACCAAAGCTATGAATACTAATACTACTTTTGTTATAAGGTTACAGTAACAAAATATTGCAGGTCTGAATTATCTACAAGAGAACAGGGGAGGGTCAAGCCTGAGATGCCTTCTCAAATTACATTTCTGCCTTGGACTCAAATGGCTGACCATTGTCCTCGTTGCAGCTCTTCCTCCTGTCTCTCAAAGTTAGTCTTACTGCCCATTACATCCCCTTGCACATCTGCCACGCGAAGTACAACAGGCCAAGATACACTTTCTAAAAATTAATTCCCAAGCAGGGGCACTTTAGGACTGTGGAGGTAAACTTCAGAGTAGGATGGTTGAGCAAAGTAACTGAAAGTAGGGCAAAAGGATTTAAATTCACTAGCAAAGTCCACATATTGTATCTCTGGTTAGGGTTGGGAATGACTTGTGCTCAAAATACTGGAGATGCTGAAATCCTCCATAGGCAAATGGATCAATGGCTTGACTCACACAGCTTCCCAAGTTCTTACTATAAGTCCCTTATTATTCACCAGGTTTGGGATCCAACCTTATACCTAACTTTAGCTCAAAGTTTTTATAACTATATGGGCAATGGGCAAGGCATCTGGTTAGAGAATTATCCATAATTAGGTAAATAATCCTTAATAATACATTAAAAATCCACTCCTCTCCTGCATGATTTAAGTTGTGGTAAGAGAAACAGATTTAATTTCACTATAAGAAAGTGGATGAAGGAGTTAGGGCATGCAAATAAAGAAATCTAAATAGTCCTTGGGGGTTAGAAAAAAAAATCTCCAGTGACAAATGCAAAGCCCACTCTGATCTAGATATGCCCTACATTGTTCCACTATAAATAACCTGATACTTGAATGAACACAGTGATTGCAAAGCAAATATTATAGGACCTCCTTCTTTAATCAGGATGTCACAATGCAGCAAATTCAGAGATAAAGAAATGGAATGAGGAAGAAATCATGCATTGAGCAGGGCTGGATATCTAAATGGCCCTTCCAACTTTCAATCATGATACCAAAATTGGTTACAGCTACTGCTAGCTCTGCCATACAGCTGAATGGATTAAAATTCTAACCATAATACATATGGAAAAAAAGTCACTGAAGGAATGATGTTTGCAGTAGCTTCAAGACAGACAAAAGGAATTAAGCTTTCATACAATGCAGACTTTTATGGAACTCAATAGTCTGGCCACTAGTTAATGGAACACAAGTCTAGAATGGAGCCATAATGGCTATAAATCTCCACGCGTGCAATACTTAGGATAGATATTAAATGGTCAGCCCCATTCTAGTACCCTCCAAATGTTTGCACTTGCACCACATCCTAGGTTATATTGTTCCCAGCTAACATTGCTCTGATACGGGGATTTCTGGATACATTTTGCTGATCATTTTTGGGAGACAGTGGCGCTATCTATCCTATACAAGCCAATAAAGTGGTAACCCCCCGCCCGTGCTCAATGGGGGCTTGAGTCCGCTTCAGCTGAAAACGGCGGGACTTATTCCCGAGCAAAGTGTTCCGGATTTAGCCTCCTCAATCTGAGCCGCTTGTCCTCCTTACGATTCTTACATAAGCGGTACCGAATGGAAATGTTTTGAAAAGCCCATCCCGGGCAGCCCCGCAGCTTCTCTGCGTACGTGACGGCAGCTGAACTCCAGCACCACATCTCTCGCAATCGCCTCGCATCAGAGTCTCAAAGGGCGGGAAAGAGGAAGAAGGCGAGGAGAAGCGTCGCTTTTCCCGCTGGACTCGCCTCGGGCGTCCTGGGTTCAGGCTCCGACCCAGATGGCGCCACTGCTGTGCTCTACGCTTCAGGGTCCCGCCCCACTGCCCAGGCTTCCGGGATCCCCCGGTCCCCATTCATTCTGCAAGGTATTCAAGGACGAGCCGAGGACGATCGCGAAAGGCGGAGGGATGGGGGAGAGGGTTCCCCATCCAGTTACCTGCCGAGGCTGGGTGAGGGTCCCATCCACGTCAAAGAGGCAGAGAATGCGCAGCGGACTCCCGGGGGTCTCGGTGGCAGCCATGGCAGGGCCACCCCGCTTTCCTCGCTCGGCGGCCGAACTCCTCAGCAGGGACGAGGCTGCGATCTGCCGGAGGCGTCGGCCCGCGGAGGAACCAATTAGGGCGACCAGAGCTGCTCATGTGATTCCTGGAAACCGGCTGGCAACACGTCCGGGCCTGGCTGAGGGCTGCGAAGGATTCGCGGCGGTTTCTCACGCTGAACGGTCGCAGGGAAGCTTGGCTGATCCTTAGGAAACCTGAGGCCGGATTCTCAAGACAGGGATAGGTCCTGTAAGTCAAGATTCTGGCGGCCCTCGCAGGCGCGGAAAGGGGCTGCCCACCCTCTCCGTATGTCCTCTTAACTGAGTGAACACGTATCTCTATGAATGGGATAGTCACATGCGATTTTACTTGGATGGGCGTTTACAAATATGTACGCGCTCGTGTGTATGAATGGATGAAAGGCTATACGTTTGAGACTTCTTACGTGCGGGGGATGGCTTGACCACGCCTACTGAGATCACAGGTCCTGCCCACTTTCGGCTCCAGCCGCATCCATTAGCGATGCCCCACAGCGATACGCAGTTACAAATTCAGTGTAAACTAATACAAATAAATAATAAGCAGCATAGAAAAATTGTTGGAATGTGTAGTGCTTTCAGGGTTGTGTACTGTTTACAGGAATAGTTCATTCATGCTGATTAATTAGCGAACTCCTAGAGCATTTCATTTTCAGTTACTAATTAGATCATCAATACTTGTAAGCTGGATAACATTATTGTAGATCAAAGCCCTGAAATTGGTCAGACAGGAACATTTGCCACAAATGTTGCCCTTGCAGAGTCATTGTGTATACATCTGCATCTTTCAGTGTACATAAAATGAAATCATAACTATGGAAGAAAAATTCAAAATATACAATGGGATAATACCTTTATTAGGATCCACCAAAAGGTGACAAAAGTGTGTTACATTCTTATTCGACCCACCGTATTGTACATTTTTGGATTTTTTTCTTTCTTGGCAAAATGTTGCACTAGAAGGTAGAAGGCAACGGCGGTGCCTTAGAATTATTATTCCAATTTTAAAAAGCATTTGTCAAGGAAGTTCACTAAATTAATATTCCACATTATAGCATGCTATTGTCGAAGAATTTTCCATTGTCCTGAGAAACATAGTGAACTGCAGGGAAGTTTAAAAAAATGAAACAAATTCATAGACAGCATACTGAAACACAGATAAAGCTAAAGATACTGAGCTGAACTCAGATCTTGGTAAATGGATCAATGCAGTTGCTTTGCTTCCAATATCTGTGCCATCTAGAACATAGCAAGTCTTCATGCTAAATTTCCTGTTTAATAATTTCTCTGGGCAAAGACAGAAAATCATTATATACCACTTAATTATCTTTGCTGAAAATAACATTAGGAAGTTCTAACTTTTTATTTAAAAGATCAGTTCATCAAGTCTGCAATTAATGTGGACATGAAAATCATCCAGTTGGATCTGGTGGCTGCGTTTGATCGTGTGACATGGTGTTCATTGATCTGAAACTCAGACCCTGCACCTGTGGGAAAACGCTAGGATGAAGAAGTTCATCAAGCCTGCAAACATTGCCTTAAAATGTGAAGCTTTAAATTTTTGGGACTGACCCCTAAAAAACCAAGTGTAAGCTACTATTTACAGCAAGGATGCATTATAACTATTTTAAACCTATCAATTGATATTTATTCCTCTTTAATTAAGGTATGTGTTTGGCAGATAGTCAATAACAGTCCCTGATGAATATGAATGTGTGTGGTAACCAGCAGCTTAATGACAAACCCTGGTCCCTTTGCTCCTCTGTAACCTAGGAGAGACAAACAAACCATGTTTATCACTTTTATGTAGAAGACCCAAGATTATATAAAGATGTATGAAGGTTGGCTTTACTCCCTGCTACCATATCCTGGGCTATAACTATCATTTAATGATGCAAAAGAAAGAACAGAATCTGCAAGGTGAGTTTAATATTTGATATGTCTGTAAACACACCACCTGCTGTGAAAGCAGAAGATGGGATGAACTTATTAAAAGGAAGAATAGTAGATTCAGAGAAGACGGAAGCCCTTCTTGAAGGAAGGAGTGGTGCAACCTTTCCTTTTTAAAACAGCCCTTTTTCAAAAATGTGTGATTATTGTTGAAGAGTGGCAAAAACTTTAGAGCATGTGTATACTTCTGTGGTTTCTGGAACAAACCCATGTTTTCTAGACACATTTCTGTAGAGTTTCTGGTCCAGTTTTGGCATGGAAACTCCCCTGATAGAAGATTTTTCTTGGATAAACTAATGTATTGATTGTTTCTGATACAACTGACTGCAGTGTTCTCCTGAGTCACCCATATGAGTTGTGAATTGGAAACATGGTTCCAATATGGGGTGGTTTTGTTCCTATTGTATGGAGGTACCAGAGGTAGTTTTGAGAACCTGTGACATTTGTGCTGTGAGATCCCCCAGTCTCCATCTTGGTTCTTATGTTTGCTTGCTTGCTTATTAATTTATAGAACTATGTCCCTTTTACCCAGAAGGGTACTCACTATCTTATGGAAGAGATCATCAGGTGGCTCGTATTGTGTTAAACAATCGGTTCTATTCCTCCAGAACATCTATTGCCCTAAAAATGGTATCTGTGCAAGTTCAGATCAACAGCAGCTTACTTAATATGGGCCAATTATGTGGAAATTCAAACACAAAGCCAAATTGAGTTATCAGGTTTAAATAATTGCTCTAAAGTATCTCACATTTTAGCACTGTAATTAAAATGTATTTTAATTACAGTGCTAAAATGTGAGATACTTTAGATTAACAACATCATCATGGTATTCACCTTTTCAACTCCTAAAGCAAATTCTTAATATACTTACCACTTTGCCATTCATATAATCTGCCAAAATTAAGTCATTTGGACATGAATGCTATTCATAATTCCTAGAAATGTCTGGATAATTATGGATAAAATATTTTTAATTAATGAATATACTAATTTTTACTGTGTTAACATACTGATTTAAGATATACTGAATCTTAATATATGGCTGTTGAATACTATGTTGGTAAACGAGAAAATAATAGCCATGGAAGATATAATGCTGAATTACCAGCATAACCTAGCATTTATTGCAAGGATTTAGACTGATCAGGGATATGGGATGAAGTTAATTTATTTGTGTTCACTAGGGTTCTTGATTAGTTCCAATGGGCTGTAAGGCAGGATTATAGTTTTTGCATTTATATCCTACTGCAATCTGAATTGATTTGGATTAAATAATTCAGGGGTGGACTGCACGTAGACTCTCAAGAGATAGGAAGAAAAGGATCGGTGGGCTGCAAAGGCAGCCGCACTAGCATCTCTTTGCCTAAGCTTACAGGTTTGACTGGTTTCCATAATAACCCTGTATCCTTCTCAAATGAGATAACATCATTTTAGATCACAATCACAATGTGATGAATTTAGTTGGCAGGAAAAATGTGATCCTTCAAAGGATGAACTGGTTGTGCTCATTGGGATTTATCAATGCTGCTACCTTATACGTAGGGCTTATGTAAGCTGCCTGCCTGCATGGCTGCTGCTGTCTTTACGGTTTACCTGTTGACTAACTGCCAGGTGATGTGTATACAACTGCACATGGGTGTGCATGTTGATATACTTACACACATATGTGGAGCCTCTGCCTACCAACTGGCCCTGGTAAAACCTTCAGGGATGAAATGTTTGTTCTGAGCGGGTTCTGTTAGAATGGTCCAACTCCAGAGATTGAAAAATGAAAACAGATCACAAGTACCTTTGCCTGAAGCTCTGGGAGTAACAATAGCGAGGATAAGCCATAAAATACTGTTCAGCGGAGCTGTTCCAAGTGAGGAGGGCCTTTGATATTCTGGTCTCTAAGGGAAAATGGACTTGTTGCCCCTAGGAATTGTTCAGTACATGATTCAAATCTGAACATCAGATAAGTTACAGAATTCTGAGAAACTCTGCAGTTTCCATTTGTTATATAGAATTATGAAAATATTTTTCCCCACTGAATGTAGCACATATATTCTGAAACTGCCTTGTTTTACATTGGCTTTCTCTGATGTCTGGCTCCAACATATCAAAAGTACCCTGAAAGAGAATGTTCTTTGCCTGATATTGGCAAAACAGTCAGGAAATTCCAAAGCATTGCTATCAAAGATGAAAAATTCATCATTAACTGTAGGTTGTTCTCTCTGGAAACTTTACAGCAAAAGACAGACCATTATTTTTTAAAATATAGTTTTTGTACCATGTTCCTTGGAAGGAACTAGAGTTTTCCTTCCTTACAATATGGTGTCACTACTCCAGTTCTGAAGTATTTGCACAGGCATATTAACCGAATGTTAGTGTTCTGATCAGCACTTAGCATCATTTCCTGCCCCCAGCTGCAATACCTATATTTGCAAGAGCAGAATTGCTGTATATAATAATTTAATTAAAAAATATTATAACCTCAAATAAATAGGTAACTAATCTTTGACATGTATTTTTAGCTGATGTAATTGGTTAATCATTAGTACTTTTGTGTGTATTTTAATTATATTGCTTTTCTGCTTATTAGCTATCTTGAGTGCCATCTATTGGTAAAAAGATGGAACACAAATAAATAAATAATCACAGCGGGGGTAGCTAGCCCAATGCTGTCATATAAACAAAATTAAAAAGGAAGGAGAGACAGAGAAAAAGCCAAAAAATGAAAATATAAAATGATTGACGATATAGTACCAGATGATGGGTCTCTCAGGTTGGATGGCACTCAACATGCTCCTGAGGAAGAGCTGAGGATCTTTCAGAGAACTAATGGTGTTTATGATGTGGCTAGATTAAAGCCCCCAGGACGTCTAGTTGCTGATGTTGCCATACAGGAAAAGAAAATGGAAAATGTTTGCAAGCATGAAACATGACTTGGAGTCATATACATGTATAATTACCTAATAAAATCCCACTTCAACATATGGGACATGGGAGCCATTCAAGGGCTCCATAGAGATGCATCTTTCTTGGAGTAGTCCCCATCACAAAGTCATGCTGAATCCTCTCTTTCAGATGGATGGGTAAGATAATTCAATAAAACTGCTCCTTTTACCCTAAGAATGAATATAATCTTGGAATCTATGCGGCTGGGGGAGGAATCTTCTTGTGCAGCTGAAAGCCTTCTAATCACTTTTCTCTGTTAAGCATGCAGCAGACAGTAAGAGAAAGCTATTTAGGGCTCATTTTATGCAATTAACATATTTTACCCAGTGAGTGCTATAGTGTCTAGAGGGTTTCCTTTCTCTGGCATAGTACAGACCCTCTTTAGAATGATGACATTTTAGATTATAACTATCAAGATAAACAGGAAGGCAGCAATGCCAAAATAAAACAAGCAAACTCAAGTGGGTTCTGACAAAGGCTTTATTTTAATTATAAAACAAGAACAATAAAGAATTCCTAGAAATGACAGACCTGTTAATTAAGCCAGACCTCTGCTGTCATACACAGGCTGTTCAGCTTTCCATGTCAATTGACAGGTTAAAAATGTATCCATTTAAATACATGTACATGTTTTATACTTTATATAGACTTATAATATAAGGGATGGGGGAAAATGCTGGATATGAATGCAGCTATATTTTTCAACAATTATAAAGCAGGCCAGTTGTCTACAGACTGCCCTTAGTCAATTGACAGTGTCAACTGGTGTGGGATACAACATACAATTCATTCATATTTTAGAATTGAGAGCCAGTGTTGAAATGCAGCCTCTTTTAGGACTCTGCTCAGTGAAGCTCTAAATATTATTGCACATCACTGAAAATAGAGCCTACACTGTATTACAGAATAGCAAAAGAGTCATTTCTTTATTGGAAGCAGTAGGGAGGACAACATGATCAATAATGCAACAAGTATAATCTTCCTTTTAACTCTAGTGAAGATAGCTATGGTTGCAATCCTTAGTGAAGACACCTAAGGTTGCAAACCTGCTTGGGAATAAATCCTGCAGGAAAAAATACTTATTTCTGAGTAAACATGAATTTACATTGCATTTCCTAAAGTTATAGGAAGGAAAGTTCCAAAAAGATGATCAAATAAATACCAGGACTTTCTTCATTTCTCCACATGCTCAGATGTACTAATTAAATGGAGAAACGTACATTAAAAAATTGACAGAAGGAATGATCAAAACATTTACACACAAGAAAAACAATTACCATTATTAAAACTACAATCCAAAACAGGCTTACTAGAAAGCATGACTTTCTGGACCTCACAAGGAAGTATATGCGTTTTGGATGTAGCTTTTAAGAAGTTACTCTTTAAGAAATCAGTTAGTGCTTCCACTATGTTATGGAGTAAATTTTTAGAAAGGCTTATATCTGCAGCTCTTCTCCCCTGTCATGCATCCATGACAATTGTGATAGAGACGCGGTTCTAAAAGCAGATACAATATTCATATTGAAAGAATATTCAGAACCAGATTCACCGTCACTCCAATTCTTACACTGTTGCAATAATCAATATAGGTATAAAATATTTCTGTAATAGAAAAATACTTTGTTACCAGATTGCAATCTGAAAATTCAGCACAAGAGTTCTGAGGCATTTCAAAAGCATGCAATCAGTGAAGCATCCTATCTCATTTCTCTGCCATTCTATGCACCTAGTCCTTTCTATTTGTCATAAGGAAGGACAACTCAAGTTTTCCCTAGCTGGAATTTTTTTTGAGCCTGTTTTCTCATCCTGCATCCACCAGTATCTTTGGCCTACAAATCCCAGCAAGCAGTCCTGTAACATTTAGAGAGAATGGGGCTTGTGGTCCATCACAGCTACAGTAAGACCAGATAGGGGACAGTTCACCTAAAAAAATTGGTCAAAATACCTTTAGCCTGCAATTTAGTACTTTACTAGGTTTGTATTTTATACTCAGCACAGTATGTAATGGTACAAATGAATATTATCTCTCAGTATTAGCAGATTTTCTTATGTTCTTCCCAAGTATTAGCAGAAAGTGGAGACAAATTAATAGCCTCTCAAAGGAAAAGGTCACAGACCTCCTAGTGCTTGAAAAACATCCAATTCAATTAATTAAAATCTGATATAATGAAGTTGTCTGAATTTGAGGGAAGTGTGTGTGTGTTTAAGCAGAATATTCTCAGAGAGTAGCTGTCATTGCCATATAATGCTTTCTTAATCATGCTCAGTAGAGAGAAGAAAGAAGAGCATATTATAATTGTTTGCTCCTAAATAAGTGACCCAAGTGTTCTGTTACAAGTATTTGTAGGAAAAAGTGAACTGGGCCCCCAACACTGTTAAATAGCCAATTTCTGTTTTAAAAAGCAGCTACAAGACATTCCTGATTCAAACTGGATGCCGACATATAGAGAAGAGAGCGCTTATATGAATGGATATAACCAATTCATTGGATATAACCATATTTATAGATTTAAATCTCAGACTTAAAATAGTAGGTCTTAAAATTTATTCTGGACGTACTTCCAGAAGGGTACATTACTAATCTACACTCTTATCTGAAATTTGTCTATTCTATAAGTATTGTCATCTTGTGAAAATAATGATAGAAGTTATTTGTTGTATTAGTCAAATTCATTTAGTTGCCTTCCTCATAACATGGTATCACTGCTTACAGTAAGACCTTAATTTCTACCCCCCCCCCCCCCCCCCCCC